TCAGCCAGTGAGCGGGAACCGGTCTCCACATGGGATCCAAACCCTCGGCAGGAGTGCTGCCGCACTCCCAAGCGGTGCACTCTCCAGTGCGCCACCGGGCCGGCCCTGAAAAACAGCTTTTTGGTCACAGTAACCGTATTTCAAGTGAATCAACAGCACTTGGCAAGTACCTCCCAAATTGACAATGAGGGTGTCGATTCTCTCCCAGGTCGAGGCCACCCACCCCCAGCCCTGTGCCTCCTGGAAGCCTCAGCATGTGTATCCCAGACCCACACCCTCCTCTAAGCCCCAGAGGGGTGTGGTGACTGCTCATTTGGTACTGCAGGAGACCAGAATATGTCATCCCAAAATACAGCAGTTCCCCCTTATCCACAGGGGATACGTCCCAAGATCCCCAGTAGATCCCTGAAACTGTGGATAGTACCAGGCCCTCTATATACTATGTTTTTCTTATACATACATGCCTATGATAAAGATTAATTTACAAATTAGGCACAGTGAAAGATTAAGAGCAATAATAACAAAATAGAGCAATGACAACGATACAGTACTGTAATAAAAGTTATAAGGATGTGTTCTCTCACTCAAAATATCTTATTGTACTGTGGAGCTTAGCAACCTCAGCCTACAATTTTTTTCCCTTCCCTTATTAGGTCAAGAACTTTCACCTTTTCATTTAAAGGAAGCACTTTATGGCTTCTCTGTGGCATATCCAAATTGCCAGCACCACTACTCTTGTGCTTTGGGGCCGTTATTAAGTAAAATAAGGGTGACTTGAACAAACCCTGAGATTCTGTGACAGTTGATCTGATAACAAAGAAGGTTTCTAAGTGGCTAACAGGCAGGCATCGCGCTACTCAGAATGGCATACAATTTAAACCTATGAATTGTTTATTTCTGGAATGCTTCATTTCATATTTTCTGACTGCTGTTGGCCGCAGGTAACTAACACTGAGGAAAGCAAAACCGCAGATAAGTGGGGAACTGCTTTAAATTACTGCTTAATGGGTACAGAGTTTCTGTTTGGGGTGATGAGAAAGTTCTGGAAATAGTGGTGATAGTCGTACCACATTGTGAACGTACCAAATGCCATTGAATTGTATACTTCGGGGGGTACGTATTTATCCAAATTTATTATCTATCTGTACAAAACTTCAGGAAGGATAGACCCACAACATGTCAAAGTAATCGTCTAGTAGGTAGAAGGATGGTTTTGTTTCCCTTTTAGTATTGTTTGGTATGTTTTAAATTTTCGATAAATAAATATGCATAACTTGGCTGATAAGAGAAAAAAAGATGCCAGTCTGACCACATTCCTGCTCCTGGCCCTGCTCAGGCTCCTGGGGCCACACCCTGGTGTGGATTCTCTCCTACTAACAGAGGTCTATCTGCTCCACCCCGGCTAGGGGGCCTCAGTCTCCACTGCCAGTGCCCCCTGCAGGTGTCCTTTCCCAGCCGCCTTCTCGGGGGGATGAGGGGAGGACTTCCTGGAGTCTAGGGACCATTAATGAGGGGGCGTGGGGGAGCTTTGATGCCAAAAGGGAGGGAAAGTCCCATAGCTGGGTCAAGTCGAGACAGGAAACCTCTGCGTCCCACTTACATCGTATTATTACTTGGAGAGGAGCCTGGCATTTTCCCACTGACCCAGGAAAACAGACACCTGTCATTGGTCCAGCTCATTTTCCTTCTGTGTGAAGTGCTGGTGTTTTAATTTAATATTTAGTTAGTTAGCTAGTTAGTTATAATGGTGGTGTACATAACATAAAATTCACCATCTTAACCTTTTTTTTTTTTGGTGGCTGGCCAGTTCAGATATCCGAACCCTTGACCTTGGTGTTACAACACCACGCTCTAACCAACTGAGCTAACCGGACAGCCCTGCTTAACCAATACATAACCTAAAATTGACCATCTTAACCAATAAATGTACACTTTAGGGGCATTAAGCACATTCACATGGTCGTGCAGCCATCACCACTGTCCACCTTCAGAACTTTCTCATCTTCCCAAACTGAAACTCTTAACACTCACTCCCCAGCCCCTCCCCAGCCCCTGGCGCCCCCCATTCTACTTTCTGTCTCTGTGGCACTGATGACTCTAGGGACCTCCTATGAGTGGGATCACACAGTGTTTGTCCTTTCATGTCTGCTTTATTTCATTGGACATAATGTCCTCAAGGTTCATCCATGTTGCGGCGTGTGTCAGAACTTTCTTCCTTCTCAAGGCTGAATCATATTCCAGTGTGTGATGGACACGTTGTGTTTATCCATCCGTCCATCAGTGATCTCTTGGGTTGTTTCCACACTGTGGCTATGATGGCTAATGCTGCTGTGGACATGGGTGAACAGTGTCTGTTCCAGCCCTGCTTTCAATTCCTGTGGGTAGATACCTAGGAGTGGAATTGCTGGGTCATATGGTAATTCTATGTTTAATGTTTTTGAGGGACTGCCATTTGTAAAGTATTTTTAGTCCTTCTTGTCTCACTGTCCTGGAGGTTGGGGTCCGATCTCAGCCCTGTTTCTCCTGCTCTTGCTAAGGGAATCCCCGGGCAGCCTTGTCTGTCTAGATGAGGACATACCTAGAAGTGAAGTTGGGGTCGGTCCTGCCCCAGAGGTGCTGCTGCTTCAGGTAAATTTCCTGTGGAACCAACAGAGAAAAACCCAATTGCCACAGTGGAACACCTGAGGGCATTTCCAAAATCAGGGTGGTGGGGAGAAATGGGCTGTCTAATGGGGGGTTGGGGGGAAGAGCATGGATGCCACCCAGCCCCACTCTGTTTTAATCCCACCACCCATGAGGGTTCTGGAAGCTCATGGAAACCACTGCCGCAGCGGAGCTTTCCATTCTCTCTGTCTGTTCTGAGGACCCACAGTGATGTGTGAGTTTGTTTTCCCTCTTACTGAGGTGTGATGTGACGAGTGTGGGTCAAAAGAGAGGGCTGTGGCTGACTCACGCCTGGTCAGGCCCCTGTGTGGTGGGAACCGCCCAGTGAGTTCCTCTGCAGTCAAGTTCAAACTCCACGGTGTGACCATGAGGCCTGGCGGGTCTGCTCAGCCTGACCAATACCCCAGACAAATGTTTGGGCAAGCCCTTCCTGGTCCCCTGGTTCGACTCACTCCAGACACCTCGGTTTACCCAGTTAACACAGATCTCTTGCCTCCACTACCCAACCCCCTGCCACCACCCTTGAGGGACACCTGTAACGTGGCTGGAATGGGCTGGGTGTTCCTTGTGGCAGGGCTTCACAGGGCATGGCTCACCAGTCTGTACTTGATGTTCCAGTTATAGGTGACTTTCTCCTCGAAGAAGTTGGCCTGCAGCCCCAGGGAGTGTGGGTTACTCACCATTACCTGTGGGAGGGGGCAGGAGAAAGGAGCACACACTATATGCACCAGCAGGACCCCCGCAGGTGACCCCAGTTCACATCCAGATGAAAAAGCAAGCTCGCTCCGCAATGGCAGCTGCTAACCCAATCCCAAATGTGCCCCCCACCTCATCCACCTGCCCACCCCCAACTGTGGCCACTGAACCCCACTTTGCAGGCGGCCTGGCCCTGCAGAGCTGGAAGCCCAGACCCATCCTGCAGAAAGAGACAGAGTGGGGGACCCCTGGGTAAGAGCTGGGGGCAGCCTGGCATGTCCCACTGCAAGCCCTGCCCCCGGGCCTGAGGCCTGACTCCACCGCCCTTCTGTTTTGTGACACTCCCCTCATATCCTCACACAAATAGCCCCATTTTTAGCTTGATTACAGATGCTCCTCAACTTACAATGGGGTTACCTCATGATAAACTCACAGTATGTTGGAATTATCATGGAAGTCAAAAATGCATCTAAAACGTCTAACCTAACAGCTTAGCCTAGCCTACCTTGAACGTGCTCAGAACACTGACATTAGCCTACGATTGGGCGAAATCAAGTAACACAAGCTGTTTGTATAATATAGTTTTGAATATCTGATGTAATTTATTGAATACCATACAGAAAGTGAAAAACAGACGGTTGTGTGGGTACTCAAAGCATAGCTTCTTTCGAGTGTGTATGGCTTTCATACCATAAAATTAAATCACCATAAATCAAAATATCATGAGTCAGGACTGTCTGTACTTGCAGCCAAGAGTCTAGGCTTAGGAGCTTAGATTTTAGGCCGCATCCCCAGGACCTCCTGCTGGCTGGGGGAGGCTGTATTAAGTCAGCACTCTTAGTTGCAAGCAACAGAAGCCTACTCTAAATTAAGAAAAGGAACTTATGGGGCAGCTCAGAAGAAGGATGGAGAGAGAAGCATGGAGACAGATCACACAAAAGGAGGCCAGACAGGCAGACAGGCAGGCACAGCCCTCGTCACACAGAAGCCGATGCAGGAGAAAGACATATAGAGATAGATTCTATGGAGCACCATGAGTGAGTGTCTCTCCTCAAGGTGATGCCAGGGAATTTCCAGAGTCTACAAATGGGTACGGGGCATGTGGCTGAGGATGTAGCAGAAAGCCAGACATCAGGAACATTGGCAGACACACTTACTAGAGGAACCAGGGATGTGCCCAGCCGGGGTATTAAAATGGCGGTCAACACCAACTCGCCGTTCATATCAATGGTATACATTTGGTCTTCGAAGTCTCCTTCCAGAACTTCTATCTAGTTAGGATGGCAAAAAAAAAAACAATAATAATTAAATTAAATTAAATCGCGCCCCTGTTCCCCAAAAAGAAAGGACAAATAGGCAGGCGTGGTTCAGTGGTTCCTAGGGACTGGACTGTCTCATCTTTCTGTTGCAGCAGGTTGGACTTCCTCGCATCACACTGTCGTTCTTGCTAGACTCCACCCCTACCCCAGAGGTCTGCCCAGTTGCAGCCCCTCCCCTCTCGCCGGGCTTTTATAGTGACTATTCCCCTGCGTTTCTATACAGCGTGGTCACCCAAGTGTGCATTGCTAGATCACATAACTTAGTCTTGCCCATTTTCCAAACTTGTATGTCTTTTAAGTCTCCTTCAATTGCAGGTTGCCCCTCTATCTCTTTCTTTTCCTTTCTATTTATCTTTGAAGAATCCAGGCTGTTGGGCCTGTAGAGTTTCTCAAAGCCTAGATTTCCCTGATGCTTTTGAACATGTTCCTCTGTCCTCTGCATTTCTGGCAAATTGTGGCTGGATCCGGACACTCCATCAGACTTGACCGTGTTGGCAAGATTCAGTGGGTGATGTGATCTCTCACAGGAGGCACATAGTGTCCATGGGTCTCTTCTTTTTGACCTTAGCAGCTGTTGATGCTCAAAGCCTACAAGCATTCATTCACTGGGACTGCCAGATGGTAGTGTTCTATCACTGTGTTTTCATATATTTGCTGGAATTTTTGTTTATCTTCTTGGCATTTTGCCAGTATAAGGATCTGAACCCTTGACGCTGGTGTTATCAGCACTGCACTCTAGTGAGTGAGCTCACCAACCAGCCCTGGAATTCTTCTAGAAGGAGACACCTTCTGTCATCTAATTATTTGCTGACCTGGAAGTACAATCTGAAGGAAAGGTGGGATAAATGCTTGAGTCCTTCCTTTTACTTACCCAGTTTTCACGACAATGAGCTGGTTTCCTGTCATCCTACAGATGAAACCAATAAGTTGTTTCTTCTTCTTTTAAATATCATTATGGGCCGGCCTGTGGCTCACTCGGGAGAGTGCGGTGCTGATAACACCAAGACCCCAGGTTCGGATCCCATATAGGGATGGCCGGTTCGCTCACTGGTCAAGGGTTAAGATCCCCTTACCGGTCATCTAGAAAAAAAAAAAAAAAAAATGGGCCGGCCCGTGGCTCACTCCGTAGAGGGCGGGGCTGATAACACCAAGGCCCCGGGTTCAGATCCCATATAGGGATGGCCGGTTCGCTCACTGGCTGGGCGTGGTGCTGACAACACCAAGTCAAGGGTTAAGATCCCCTTACCGGTCATCTAGAAAAAAAAAAAAAAAATGGGCCGGCCCGTGGCTCACTCCGTAGAGGGCGGGGCTGATAACACCAAGGCCCCGGGTTCAGATCCCATATAGGGATGGCCGGTTCGCTCACTGGCTGGGCGTGGTGCTGACAACACCAAGTCAAGGGTTAAGATCCCCTTACCGGTCATCTAGAAAAAAAAAAAAAAAATGGGCCGGCCCGTGGCTCACTCCGTAGAGGGCGGGGCTGATAACACCAAGGCCCCGGGTTCAGATCCCATATAGGGATGGCCGGTTCGCTCACTGGCTGGGCGTGGTGCTGACAACACCAAGTCAAGGGTTAAGATCCCCTTACCGGTCATCTAGAAAAAAAAAAAAAAAATGGGCCGGCCCGTGGCTCACTCCGTAGAGGGCGGGGCTGATAACACCAAGGCCCCGGGTTCAGATCCCATATAGGGATGGCCGGTTCGCTCACTGGCTGGGCGTGGTGCTGACAACACCAAGTCAAGGGTTAAGATCCCCTTACCGGTCATCTTTTGAAAAAAAAAAAATAAATAAATAAATATCATTATGACTTCACGGATTACAATCTACTGCCACTTATCTTTACTGAGGCTCAAATAGTCACATCTTTGGCCAGTGGGAGCCTCTTCAGGTTGGTTTCTAAATCCTTCTGACATGACCCTCACAGTCTCCAATAGCTTCCCTCCTCTTGATAGGACAAGATGTTCCAGTTTATCTCATTTATTCCTCCACCCCAGATCTGGAATCAGCCATTTCTCCAAAAAGACCATAGTCTGGGTGTTAGGGATGCTTGCTGATACTAGGTTGGTTATTGTTTCTAGGCTTTCTCAGTGAATAGATCCACACATAGATGCGTATGTGTGTGTATGTGTGTGTAGATAGATACATACGTAGGTAGATAAATACATACACAGATGGATACATACATATATACATAGATGGATGGGTGGATGGATGGATGGATGGATAGACAGGAATAAATGGATGGATGGATGGATGGATACATAAATAGATATAAACATAGGTAGATCGATACATAGATGGATGGATGGATAGATGGATAAATGACAGGAATGAAGAGATAGATAGATAGATAGATAGATAGATAGATAGATAGATAGATAGATAGATAGACGATAGACAGACAGACAGACGACAGGAATGAATGGATGGATGGATGGATAGATAGATAAAATGCCCTGTGCATTTATACTGATTTCTAGCCTAGGACAACATGGCTTTTAGTTAACATTTTCTATACTATCTGTGCATCTTCTCTCCTTGCCAAAAAAGCCTAGTTCTCAAGGACACAGGTCACCATGGATTAGATTATCCCATTACTCACTTGCTTTATCCTACTCGATACACACAACAGTCTTATAATAGCAATACCACTACCACCACTGATTATGGTTGCTGGAAACTGCTTTTTAAAAATTGTTTTTAAGGCTGGCCAGTTAGCTCAGTTGGTTAGAGAACACCCTTATAACACAAAGGTCATGAGTTCAGATCCCCATACTGACCAAAAAACCTGGTTTTGCACTATTGAAAACAGTACGGCAGTTCCTCAAAAAACTGAAAATTGAGTTTCAGTATGATCCAGCAATTTCCACTTCTGTGTATATACCCCCAAATATTGAAGGCAGGGTCTTCTACAACTAAATATAAACATGTGCATGCACACGTGCGTGCACACACACACACACACACACACACACACACACTTCTTGCTACCAATCCTCACATCAGTGTCTCTTGCCATTTTGATTGTCTGAAGCTTGTCTTCAACAAATTCCTTAAGAAAGAGTTCATGAGAACAATACTTTCTTTTTATTTCCCTTATATGTTGCAAGCTCCTTTTGTCTAGAAGCCCCAAGGAGATTTTTCTTTGTTCTGAAAATCCAGCACCTTCAATAGAATATGTCTTAGTCACTCTGAGTTCATATTCTCAGATACACAGTGTGCTCATTCATTAGTCTGAAATCTTTTATCTCAGGAAAATATTCTTTTTTTTTTTTTTCCCCCTTTTGTCTTTTTTCGTGACCGGCAACGGGATCGCAACCCTCGGTGTTGCTCCTGCACCTTGCTCAGCCAGGGAGTGGCCTGTCTGTATGTGGGATCCGAACCCTCGGCGGGAGCGCTGCTGCACTTCCCAAGCGGCGCACTGTAGCAGTGCACCACCGGGCCAGCCCTCAGGAAAATATTCTTGAATTGTAGTTTTCAGTATTTGCTCTGTTCCCTTGGTTTTTATATTTCTTCTTTGGGAATGCCTATCCATATGTTGGATCTTCTTTGCCTGTATTCAATTTTTGCCTCTATTTCTTTAATCATTTTAATCTGTTTTTTTAAACTTATTTTGAAACAAAGTCACCTATAGAAAATTGAAAAAACAGCACAAAATTGTCCATATATCCTCCACTCAGATTCCCCAATGTCAATATTTTACATAACCCTGGTATATTTGTCAAAATTAAGGAGTTAGTATTAATTAATTAATTGGAAGTAAACTATAGACTTTATTCATATTTCTTTTCTTTTTTTTAAAATTCAGATTTCAACAACTTTTCCACTAATGTCCTTTTTCTGTCCCAGGATCCCAGTTCAGGATCTCACATGGTCATCATGTCCCCTTTGTGTCCTCTGGTCTGTGACATTTTCTGCCTTTCCTTTTTTTTTTTTTTAAATGACTTCAACAGTTTTAAAAAGTACTAGTCAGGTATTTTATAGAATATCCCTCAACTGGCACTTTTCTGGTGTTTTCTCATGATTTCACTGGGGTTATGGGTTTTGAGAAAGAATACCAAGAGGTAAAGGGTCCTTTTCACCATGCTGTATTAGGGTACACACTGATCATATGATTATGGAGGTGTCTTCCAGGTTTCTACTCTATTAAGCTATCTTCCAATTTCCACACTCTGTTCTGTAGAAGAGAGTCATTAAGTCCAGGCCACACTCCCTCTATTAAGCTGCTATCTTCCAATTTCCACACTCTGTTCTGTAGAAGAGAGTCATTAAGTCCAGGCCACACTCTGCTATCTTCCAATTTCCACACTCTGTTCTGTAGAAGAGAGTCATTAAGTCCAGGCCACACTCAAAGAGGGGGATTAAGCTCCATTTCCCAGAGCAGGGAGTATGTATTTATATTATTTGGAATTCTCCTGTAAGGAAGGTTCGCCTCTTCTCCCCCTTTATTTATTTACTCAGTCATTTATTGATATAGGCGTAGACTCATGTATACTTATTTTATATTTTGGCTTTTTATCCAATCCTACGTTATTTATTTTTGTTGCTCAAATTGTCTCAGCTTTCATCTGTGGGTTTTTTAATACTATATAGTTGTTCCATCTCTTTTTGGTGGGGTTTTGGAAACTTATGCTATCTGTCTTTCTCAGAACAATGTTAAGTGGCCAGTTGTTTTCATAATGGCCTTCCCATTGCTCTTTCTTACTGTTTCTTCTGCTTGTGCCATAGACCAGCAGTTCCCAAGCATGTGATGTCAGCCCTGGGAAAATCCCTATGGCTGGGGATGGACATTTTATTAGTAAAGAAAATAAGAAAAATGATCATCTACTACCCACCATCTATTATCACCATCATCTCAGAAAAGGATATTTTAATAAATCAATACAGCCAGAATACGGCATAGTGGCTCTATTTTTTTCTCATTTCACTGACTGCCACAGGTTCAAAGACCACTTGGAAATGGACACTCTAAAATCTTTTTTGTTATCTTTCTGTGGTCCTTCAGAAGGGAAGTGGCCCCGCAGCTATGTAAAGCTGAGATAACCTGGGCTCTTCTGAGCACAATGCTGGACTTATTTTTGACAGTGAATTTTGGAGCTTTGGCAGATGGGATGAGGTTGCTGGACAAGACAGACCAGAAATGGCATTTTCTGGGCAGGCTGGTTAGCTCAGTTGGTTAGAATGCAGTGTTGGTAACACCAAGGTCAAGGGTTTGGATCCCCATACTGGCCAGCTGCCAAAAAAAGAAAAAGAAAAACAAAAAGAAAAAAAGGCATTTTCTGCACCTTTGACCATGGGACTACCAGAGACTGAGAAAGAAGGATTCCAGAGAAGGCTGGAGAAGACATTTTACCATTTCTGCCTAGCAGCAAGTTCCCTTTCCTGAGAGTATCTGAGGCTTCTTTGGGAAGTCACTCCTTAACAGTCCTTGGGTATATGGCCCAGCGGGATTGGCCCTATTTCCAGGAATGAGTTCTGATGGGCTCACCCCCAGAGTGTGATTGGCCCAGGAATGGGCGTGTCATCCTCTCTGAGCCAATGAGATAGGAGAGACACTGCTGGGATTTCTCTTGGCTTCTTCATGAGAGCTCCTCTCTGCTCCAGAACATTGTGATGTGAAGTTACAAGGTCCACAGCATTGATCTCCAGCTTGCTGCTGTCTTATGAGGGTCTAGAGCTTTCCAGAAGTATCTGGATGCAGCTTCAGGATGACGCATGGAACACCGTGAGATACAGAATGGAGAGATGGAGAGAAACTGGCTCCTTGGTGGCATGATTTTAGTCACTAGATCAAGCCCCACCTGAAGCCCTCATTATCCCCTTTGGACATTTTGGCTATATGGGTTAACCATGGTCCTTTTAGTCTAAGCCCATCTGGTTTGGATTTTCCCTCACTTGCAAAACAATGAATCCAAATCAATACATACATATTTCCATATTTCTATAATTTCCCCCCCCCCCACTTAATCAGTTAGCTTGGCAGGGGTTAGGGCTGATCCACACAGCTTGGTGGATACTTTGAGCCCAATCAAATCTCCCTCTCCAGAGACTCTTGCAGGTAAGTTACTGCTGAACCATAAAGGCTCACTTACCTATATGAGAAGGGCAGCAGTGATAATGACCACATCAATTTATACACTTCCTAGCAGTTTTCATGTATATTTTGGTGGCTTGGTTGACTTCCTTGTTACAATCATCACGTAATAAAGAAAAGTAATATGTGTTTCTTTTTGAAATTAGGGATGTGAAATTATTCAAGATCAGGATGCCAACCTTTTGGGCTATGGTAGCTTAGAGGTCCAAGCAGGGCTGCCCAATTTACTTGTTTATCTGAAATTCAGCTTTAACTGGGTGTCCTATATTTTATCTGGCAACACTCCTTGGAGTTTTCATATGTGGTTGCTGGCTACAAATGCCCAACTCTGGGGATTTTGTATTTGTCTTTTTAAAAAAAGAATACACTGAACATCAATCTAAAAGTGATGATCACCTACTTTGCACTTTTCAACTTGGAGTTGGGGATCCATAAGAATCGCTTGAATATTCACGGAGCACTTCTGGAAATCGAAAGCTGAAAAATTCGCATCGAGAAGTGGGGTCAGTATGTCAAGCATCCCTGTACCCGTGAACATCAGGGCTGCCCCTTCGGACCAGATTTGTTGGTCTGCAAACTAAGAGGAAAATGATTTCTGAGATCAAATCATTCTAATTCGTTTTTGAAGGTTCAAATTTTACCTTAGGAGTTGGATTTAAAGAAGTTAGACTTAAAAAAAAAAAAAAAAAGCAAAGTCAAAAGTACAGTTCAGCTTCATTCACCCCTTGGTGATGAAATGAATCATGGAAACTCAGTATTTCCTCATCAGTGAGGCTATCCAAAAAATGGTTCTTTACTTATTCACAGGTTATGGACCTCTTTGGAAAGTCAGACAAAAGCTACAGAACCTTTCCCCATAAAACACTTTGGCCATTGGAACATCAGGGTTAAAGCTTCAAAGGGATGGTTGGTTGACATGTTTGTGCCCTGAATCCAATCAACCTCTCCTATTCCTGCAAGTTACTGTCCGGAAAGTTACTGTTGGGTAACTTTCAGGAAGAATGGTGACTGTGGTCTAGCAGGAAAAATACTGAAGTAGGAGCCAGTAGACCTGGGGAACTATCAAGGCCACTAAAGACTGGGAAAGAAAGAAACTGGCACTTAAGTTTTCTCACTTGTAAAAGGTGGATGATATTATCTCCTTCACAAGATTATTGTGAGGATGGAAATAAAATTAGATAGGCATAGCGTATAATATAATGTGAGTTAACCCCAATGCCACTACCACTTAGCACTTCTGTGACCTAAAACAAATAACTTAGCATCTCTGTGCCTCAGTTTTTCCATCTGCCAAGTGGGGACAATATAAGGGTTTACTTATTAAACTGATGGTCGGGTTTACATGACATAACACAGAAAGGGCACTTAGACCAGTACCTGCTGTATTTTAAGCACTCAGTAAATTTTAGCTGCTTTGTTATTATTATTATTATTTTAATAACTAGAGTGATTTAGCCTTCAGACAAAAATCAGAAGTTTGGGAACAAGACCATTATTTCTTCCCAACTGGGTAATAACTGGACTTTGATTTTTACCTACTTTAATTATAGAATTTGACAAGACTCCCAGACTGCCATAATACAAATTATCTTCCCGGGTTAAAACTGCCAATTCATTCTCATCTAGGAAAAACAAAACAAGACAAAACAAAAATTGAAATGATAATTCTTTCCATGGACAAAAAATTCATTCTTAAATTTCTGACACTGAATAACGTTAAATTAAACAAGCAGGAGGCCACTGGCCTGGGGCTGTTTCCCTACGTTGTGTTCCTATGTGATGAACTCCAACCTTGGTAAAGAAGCAAACCAAAAACTAAGTTAGGAAAGAATCCTTTGTAACAGGTAGCCAAGTCTCAGCCAATTGCAAGCAGCTGAGCTTCAGCCAATCATGGGCAACTGAGTTTCAGCCAATCACAGGCAGCCAGCTGATGAGACCATGTCCAAACAAGACAGACGCTACCTGTAATCAATCAAACTACTTCTGCACTTTACTTCCACGTTCAGCTTACAAAAGCTCACTGCCCACACTGTGGAGTGGAGCTCTCTGAACCTCATCTGGTTTCAAGCGCTGCCCAATTCATGAATCATTCTTTGCTCAAACTTTGTTAAATTTAATCTGTTTAAAGCTTTTCTTTTAACAGTAATGAAAAGACTTATTTTACATCTATGGTCTTCAAATATAGTGCTCTTTATTTTCTGCCTTTGCTTGCTCTCAGTTTCTCATGCACTTGATTTTTCCTCCCTGAATCAAAACAGTGTTACATCTTTTTTTTTTTTTTTTTCCTTTTTATCTTTTTTCGTGTCCGGCAACGGATTGCAACCCTCAGTGTTGCGCCCGTAGCGGGGACTGGCAACGGGATCTCCACCCTCGGTGTTGCGCCTGCACCGCGCTCAGCCAGTGAGCGGAAACCGGTCTCCACATGGGATCCGAACCCTCAGCAGGAGCGCCTCCGCGCTCCCAAGTGGCGCACTCTCCAGTGTGTCACTGGGCCGGCCCAAAACAGTGTTACTTCTATTTTCTGGTCATCATCATAGAGTTCATGTGGAAAAGTCAAGCAATACTAAAAAATAAAGAGTTAAAGAAAAAATTACCCCAAATTTGGTCAGCAAACTTTTGTAAAGGACCAGATGGTAAATATTTTCTACTTTGCAATGTCTGTTACAACTACTCGACTCTGCAAAAGCAGCTATGGGCAATGTTTAAACAAGATGAATCTAGGGCTGGCCAGTTAGCTAGTTGGTTAGAGCACAGCCTTAAAACACCAAGGTCAAGGGTTCAGATCCCACACCAGCCAGCCACCAACCAACAAACGAATGTGGCTGTGTTTCAATAAAACTTTATTTACAAAAACAGGTGGTAGGCCAGATTTGGCCCACAGGCTGTGCTTTCCTGACCTCTGACATAGGTATCCACTGTTAACATGTTAGTTAACACCCTTTCCTGCAGTTGTGTATATATGGGATTGTATTATGCAACTCTTCAAGCTACTTTATAACTTAGTTTCTTCTTCCCTTTTATGTACATGAATGTAGTTGGCTGGTTGGTGTTCTGGTCCCTGGATGAACCATAATTTATTTAACTAGTCCTCCACTGATGAACATTGAGATTGTTTCTGGTCTTTTGCAGATACATTATTCCAACGAATGCAGGACACTATTATAACTTTTTTTGAAAGGGAATGACAAGATCCAATGGATATTTTTATTCTCTTAAAAAAGACATTCAAGGGGCTGGCTGGTTACCTCAGTTGGTTAGAGTGTGGTGCTGATAACACCAAGGTCCCGGGTTTGATCCTTGTACTGGCCAGCCACCAAAAAAATAAATAAATAAAAAGACAGTCAAGGACGTTTTCAAAAAATGAGGTTTGAGATGGGCCTTGAAAAATAGCAACTGATGGGCCGGCCCGGTGGCGCACTGCTACAGTGCACCACTTGGGAGCACGGTGGCGCTCCCACCGAGGGTTCGGATCCCACATATAGACCGGCGGCTCACTGGCTGAGCGAGGTGCGGGCGCAACACCGAGGGTTGCGATCCTGTTGCCGGTCCCGGTCCAGTACGGGCGCAACACTGAGGGTTGTGATCCGTTGCCGGTCATGAAGAAAGACAAAAAGGAAAAAAAAAAAATAGCAACTGATGTAGAAAAGAGGAGGTGCGTTTTTAGGACAAGGACCAAATTAATTTGACTTAAGTTTTCTCAGTCTCAGCACTACTGACACTAGGGGCCAGATCATTCCTCGTGGTCGGGGCTGTCCTTCTCACTGCAGGATGTTGGGCAGCACTCTGGTCTCTACCCATTAGATGCCAGTTGTGACAACCAAAAATGTCTCCAGACATTGCCAAGAGTCCCCAGGTTGAGAACCACTAGGTTAGGTGAAGAAAAGGGATCCCGAAGGGCAGTGGTTGACAGTAGGGTAAGACCCGAATGTGACCCTTGATAGTCTGGACTTTATTTTAATATTATTATTATTTTTTGCAGCTGGCTGGTACAGGGATCTGAACCCTTGACCTTGGTATTATAGCACCACTCTCTAACCAACTGAGCTAATCGGCCAGGTCATGGACTTTATTCTTTAGAAAATAAGGAACCATCAAAGATCCCAGGCATGGGAGGTGATGAGCACTTACTGAATTTTGAAGGGGGAGGAAGACAATTCACAGAGTGGGAGAAAACATCTGCAAATCATATCTCTGTTAAGGGACTTGTACCCAGAATATATTTAGAACTCTTACAGCTCAATAATAAAAAGTCAAATAACCCAATTTTTAAAAGGGTAAAGGGTCTGAATAGATATTTCTCCAAAGAATATGTACAGATGGCCAATGAATATATGAAGAGGGGCTCAATATCATTAGTCGTTAAGGAAATTTTAATTAAAACCACAATGAGATAGATACCACTTCATACTCACTAGAATGGCCATAGTCACAAGACAGTTTGAGTAACAATTGGTGGTGAAGATGGGAGAAGTTGGAACCCTCATATATTGCTGGTGGGAATGAAAAATGGTGCAGCTGCTGTGAAAGGCAGTTCCTCAAAGGTTAAACATGATATGTGGTATACATATGTTGCGGTTTTTTGGTATACATATGGTAACGCTTTAGTGCATGGTCCAGCAATTCCACTCGAAGGTGTATACTCAAGAGAAATGAAAACATGACTACACAAAAATGTGTATACAAATGTTCACAGCAGTATAATTCATATTAGCCCTTAAGTGGGAACAACCCAAGTGTCCATCAACAGATCAATGTACAAACACGACGTGGTCCATTTAAACAGTGTAATAGTACTCAGCCTTAAAAGGGAATGAAACACTGGTATATGCTACAATCTTAAAGACATTATGTAAAGTCGAAGAAGCCAGATACAAAAGACGACATATTGTATGGTTCCTTTTATATAAAGAGTCCAGAATAGGCGAATTTATAGAGACAAAGTAGATTGTAGTTGCCAGGAAGTGGGGGGAAACGGAGGATTGTGGGGCAATAGTGAAAGGAGATAGATTTCTTTTTGGGGTGATAAAAATGTTCCAAAGTTGATTGTGGTGATGGTTGAATGACTCTGTGAATGTACTAAAAATCATCAAATTGTACACTTTACATGGGTGAATTGTATGGTATACGAATTATATCTCAAGGTGCAACAAGAAAGAGCAGAAGGAAGAAAGGAAAACAGAAAATGATTGATCTGCTTAACCTGGGCTTGGTAGAGTCTAGAATCTGAAAGAGCAATTACGAAACTTCTCGTAAGTGTGGAAAGAGATGATAAGCAGGGGTTAGACATGATCTGTTACCCGAGTGGGTGCTCCTCAGTGAGCGGGTGGAACCCCCTGGGGAGGACGGTGTGATTGCTTCATGGACTGAAGGCTTGGTGAGGACAACAGGGGCTCTCCCATGTTGCTGGTGGGAATTCATACTGGCCCTATCTCAAAAATATAATGTGCAATTCTTTTGGGTAAGTATCCAGAAGTGGGATGGCTGGATCATATGGTAATACTAGGTTTAATTTTTTGAGGAACCCCCATACTGTTTTCCACGGTGGTTGCGCCATTGTACATTCCTACCAACAGTGCACAAGGCTTCCACTTTCCCCGCATCCTTGCTTACACTTGTTATCTTTTGGGCTGACCATCCTAATGGTGTGAGGCAGTATCTCCCACATTCATTGCAGCATTATTTACAAAAGCTTCAATGTGGACACAGTCTAAATGTCCATTGAAGGATGGATGGATAGATGAAGAAAATGTGGTAGATACAAACAATAGAATATATTCAGTGTTAAAAAGCAAGGAAATCCCACAATATGCAACAAAATGAATGAACCTTGAGGACATTATGCTCAGTGAAATAAACACAGAAGGAGAAATACTGCATGATCTTGCTTATATGAGCAATCTAAAATAGTCAAAGTCATAGAAGCAGAGAGTAGGTTGTCAAGGGCTGGGGGGTGGGGGAAGTGGGGAGTGACTTTTCAATGGATATAACGTTTCAGTTATGCCAAATAAGTAAGTTCTAGACATCTGCTGCACAGCATCGTACCTGTGTTAACACCAGTGTACTGCACCACATGTTTTCACTACTTACAAGAGCCAAGAGTTGGAACCAACCTAAGTGTATGTCAACGGATGACTGGATAAAGAAAACAAGGTAAATACACAGTGGAATGCTACTCAGCCATAAAAAAGAATGAAATTCTGCCATTCGCAGCAACATGGATGAGCTTGGAGAAAATTACATTAAGTGAAATAAGCCAGGCACAGAAAGAGAAATACTGCATGTTGTCACTCATGTGGAAGCTAAAAACGTTGATCTCATAGAAGAGAGTAGAATAGTGGTTACTAGAGATTGGTAAGGGCAGGGAGTTATGGGGATAGGGAGAGGGTAGTTAATATAACCATCACTGTAGGGAGACTACGGTTAACAACAATTATTATTATTATTTTATTTTATTATATATATATTTATATTATATATGTTTGTATTATATTTACATATATTTATATTATATATATAATATATTTATATTTATATTTATGTTATATTTTATTACAATTTCAGATAGCTAGTAGAGAGGATTTTGAATGTTCCCAACACAAAGAAATGACAAATGATTGAGGTGAGGGCTATGTTAATTATCCTGATATGGACATTGCACACATAAATGTACATAAATATCAGACGGTACTCCATAAATATATACAATTATCATGGGTCAACTAAGAAAAAGTAAATTTTTAAAAATTCAGAGACAGAAATAGTTTAGAAGTTACCAGAAACTGGGGGGGGGAGGGGAGGAGTAATGGGAAGTTAATGCTTAACTGGTACGGAGTTTGTGTTTAGGATGACAAAAAAAGTTTTAGAAATAGATAGATGTGGTGATTATACAGCATTGTGAATGTAATTAATTCCACGGGATTGTACGTTTAAAAATGGTTAAAATGGCAAATCTTATGTTATACATATTTTAGGAAAATAAAAAATAAATGAATAAATAATTTTAAAAACTACTGTACTGTGCACTTAAAAATTTAAGAGGGCAGATCTCATATTAAGTGTTCTTTTTTTTTTTTTCCTTTTTGTCATTTTTCGTGTCCGGCAACGGATCTCAACCCTCAGTGTCGCGCCTGTACCGGACCGGGACCGGCAACGGGATCACAACCCTCGGTGTTGCTCCCGCACCTCGCTCAGCCAGTGAGCGGGAACCGGTCTGTATGTGGGATCCGAACCCTCGGCGGGAGCGCCGCCACACTCCCAAGCGGCGCACTGTAGCAGTGCGCCACCGGGCTAGCCCCATATTAAGTGTTCTTACAATAATTTTTTAAAAAATGCAATGGGAAAAATGTTTACATTGTGTAATGATAAAAATTCTTTTAAAAATGCAAGGGGAAAGGTAAGCTGTAGAATAATGCAATAATATGATTCCATTTATGTTAAAAGAGAAAAGAAAAGAAACACCCTATACAGATGACTCCAACCATTTCCAGCAGACCCATATTTAAATATGTGTGTGAGTTTTTCAACTGGCTGGAGAGATACACACAAAATTCATACTAAAATTCATTCCTGTTATGAATTTTGAGGCCCCTCTAAGAAGCTGGAGAAGCGCCTCAATTTGGGGAGCTGGTCAAAGGGAATTTAATTATAGTTATAATACTAAAAAAAAAGAAAACTTTACAGGACCACAAATAATTATAAATTAATTTTCATATAATTAATTTTCATAACTATTGATTAATTTTAAACAGATAAATGGACATAGAGAGTAGATTGCAATACGATGATTAGCAAAAGGGGAAGTACTGACTTTTAAAAGTCAAGCGTTGGCAGGTTAGCTCAGTTGGTTAGGCAGTGCTGTTATAACACCACAGTCAAGGGTTCAGATTCCCCCGACCGGCCACCTGGTCCCCCCAATTCCAAAAGACAAATTTCAAAAAAAGAAAAAATAAATAAATAAAAGTCAAGTGATCCCACAATTGGTTGCACTACTTGCCTGAAAGTTTCCAAGCCAGTATTAAGAGAAAAATTATACTGGTGAATTTCATTTTTCCAACTGAATGAGTTTTTCCAAAAACAGAACAAAAGAGGAATGGGACAACAATTTACTTAGCAAAGAAGTCCTGAGGATGCTGTCCCTTTGTTATGAGCTGAACTGGTGGAATTGTGTCCCCCGCAAAAAGATAGGTCAGAGTCTTAACCCCCAATAGCTCAGAAGGTGACTCTGGAAATAGGGTCTTTACAGAGGTAATCAAGTTAAAACAAGGTCACAAGGGTGAACCCTGATCCAGTATGACTGGTGTCCTTATAAAAAGGGGAAATTTGGACACAGAGACAGACACACACAGAGGGAAGGTGACGTGAGGAGACAAAAGAAGAAAACAGTTATCTATAAGCCAGGGAGTGCCTGAGGCTTCAGGAAGCTAGGAGAGGCCTAGAACAGATCCTTCCCTAGGGCCTCCAGAGGGAGCCTGGCCCTACTGACACCTTGATTTCAGACTTTAGCCTCCAGATGTGGGAGACAATAAAATTCTGTTGTTCTGAACCACCCAGTTTGGGGCACTTTGTTATGACAGGTCTAGAAAAATGATACTAGCAAACTAATTGATATTCCATTTCATCCTTAAAGGGTACAAAAGTCTGTGCCCTGAATTGTTCCTGAATGTGTAACAAAATTGGTTTCTTTGTTTGTTTTGGCTGGGTTGGATGTGGCAGGTCAAGGGTTAATAAGCCAAGTATAGATATTTCTAGAAAGCTACTGGCAGGTCAGACACGCACTGGCAGCGATGTTGTGGATGGTGATGTTGGCTCCGTAAATGGAAGGATACAAGGTCTGGCCTCCTTGTTGCACCTGGATAGGGCTGACGAGCTGACCTACAAGATGAGAGGGCAGACTCGTGAGCAGCCATACACACCCCATGAGACGGGAACCCAGCGGCCACTGCCCACCCCATCCCTCCTGTGGCTGCTTTTTGTTCTTACAGCTTTTGATCGGTTTGTTACTCAAAAGATAAAAAATCAAGGAAAAGGGCTGGCCAGTTAGTTGCATTGGTAGAACACCAAGGTCACGGCTTTGGATCTCCTTACTGGCTAGACACACACACACACACACACACACACACACACACACACACACAAAATCAAGGACAATACAGTGCCGCCGTGCAATTCTGTAAAACATGACAAGGAACACACTTAGGTTTAAGAAAATGTGACTCCCATGGGTCTCTTTGGTAACAGCACTCTGAGGAATGGCCACTGAGTTTATAAAAGGAATGCTTTTCCATCGACTGGGGGCTCGAACACAATGGAATGATTTTTAATATGGGTA